GGGGGGAGTCACACCTGGAAAGTCATATTAACCAGATCTTATCCTATGAGTAGTATGTGTTAACACCTGAGCTCAGAGCGGCAACAAAAAGAAAAGAAAAGAACATCGACAAAATGGCCACAACTCTGAAATGCTGATGTAAAAAAACAGCAGGAACTTTTCCCAAAATTGTTTTTTATTACAGACCCCCACTGCTGTATCCCGCATTAGGCCCTAGGCCAGCGTCGGGGCTAATACCCCGTTTCAAGGAGGCCAAATTGGGTAGAACGAGGAGATGTCTGGGCTCTCCCTGGTCAATAGCCGCGTCATAATGAGGTGATCACCGGCCCCACTAGAAAGCCAAAATTGGCAACCTCTCGGTATTGATCCGCTCCTTTTCCCCCCGGTGTGAGCGGCCATCGGATCTCCTTGTCGTCACACACAACAGTGGAGAACAGCCATTGTGCTGCAGAGCAGACAGTGATTTTCCAGCCGACAGCCTATGCTCCCTCCCTCACAAGGAGGCAGGGAGACTGGTAGAGGGAGCTTGATCAGGGAGCTTGTTGTACGTCAGCTAAGCTGATAAGAAACATGAGCGCAAAAAATGTTTTCTAAACCTTATTTGTTAGGAGAGGGTTTGGGGGCCCTCTCTACAGCACCCTCTACGAGATAGATTCCAATTCAAAGACTCTGTCTCCTGAAGGAGGAGGGAGAAGAATAAAACTCTTCCTCGCACCCCCCCCCCCACCCCCAACCCCCAACAACAAACTTGTAAAAAGAAGCTTATAATACGGTTTGAAAAATTTTCTTCATCGTTCTTTCACTATTTACTGCTGATCGTAACTGACAGATTACAAATTGATGATTACACACCGAGAACCGATCCAACAATTTTTTATTTCTTGTCCACTTATTGATCTTTCAAAATAATCTCTTTCCCGCAATTCACTTTGTTCAGGATGAATTTATTTCTTTAGTATCGTTGTGTTCTTGCGACAGGCACAGAGGCAGAATATTTCTCTTTTTATAGCCTGTGAGATCCTGGCCCAAATTATTCTAAATCGCTCGTTGCAGCATCTCTCTTCAAATGACTTCTTGTCTGAAAGTCAGTTTGGCTTTCGCAACGAAATGGAAACAGCAGACATGATGATCTTTGCGGCCAGGCAGATTCGGGAAAATGCATAGAGCAGAAAGCAGATTTATACACGATCTTTGTTGATCTGACAAAGGCCTTTAGACACCGTTAGTGTTAGTTGGGAGGGCTAATGAGAAATCCTTTCCATTGCAAAATTCGGTTACCCGCCAAAATTCATTACCATGGTTAGCCAATTCTAAGACGGCATGCAGACCAGTGTCAAAAGAAATGGTAATACAATATCTCATTTTTTGCAGCCTTTTGTATGACACATGGATGAAAGTAGGGCTGTGTGTAGAACCAACACATTTCAATACCATATTATTTTCAGCAATAATGCATGACGCATTCCAGAGTTCATCTGCTGGCGTTGATATCAGGTATAGACCGGACGGCAGTTAGAGACACATCCAAAAAAACCCGAGCCTGATTCATTCTGCGAACTGCTGTTTGCCAATGATTGTGCTTTGATTGCTCACAAAGAATGCTGCATGCAAAACTGTATTATTTTAAAATGCAAGTGAGAACTTATGGACTCACAATAATCAAAGCAAAAACATAAGTTTTTGTCCAGCTTGCCCCTTGCAATACGCACCCCCCCCCCCTTTCCAGAATGTTAAAAAAATGTACATAATGCAACACTGAAAAATTTTGGCAATACCGTCTTCAACTGCCTGCATTGCTGCAAAAATAACTTAACACATAACTACAGCTAATGCATCATTTGAACGACCCACAGCAAGGTTTGTTGTTTATTTGGTATTACTAGGCTTTCTTCTTACACATTTGATCTTAATGAAAATACAATAGTGCAACACTACGTTTCAAGTTATGGGTACTGGCAAAGTTTCATATTTTTTCATTCCGTAGTTTTTGATACTATACTGTTCGCAAAATTTGGCCTTAGCTCCATTAGTAGTAAGATTACAGGGATAAAACTATAAGTCTTGTCCTCCCAACCCTATTGTTCGGAGCTGAGACCAAACCAAAGCTATGTCATTTCCACACGAAATATCTAAGCAGGACAAAATATCAGACACCAAAGGTCTCAAAAAAGCAAATTCATGAATCTGTTTTCTAAGCTCAAAAGGAATCAATGTCACTGGGGCTGGTCATGTCGTAAGAATGCCTGATTTCAGGATCCCAAAGCCAGTATGCTATTCTGAAGTGTCCTCAGGAAAACGTAAAATCGACGCACCGCCCCCCCCCAAAAGCCCTACAATGACACACTGAAAATGACTCTGGAGGACTTCGACACGAATCCTTTGATATGAGGGAACCTAGCTCCTAAAAGACCCAGTTGGAGAGCAGCAAGTACACAGAGCAGAAAATACACGAGGCTTCAAACATTAAAAATGCTCTAGCCAGGCGAGAAGCCCGCAGGCTGTGCGTGTGGAAAAGAAGCTTTAAAATGCTCATAACGTGGCGGACTCTACCAGAATGGGCCCCATCGGCCATAGCAAAAGTCGAACGTCATCTCAATCCTTAGAATTTTTTTTTTTACTACACTTGATTTCCACAAAAACATACCACTGCTCCAACTGCGCAAGCATGTTTATCTCATTACTGCAATGTTAAAATGTTCATGATGAGATGCGCGTAACGTCATCAATTGTGCTGCGTTGGAAGGAATGTCTGCTTTTGTGTCAGCGTCAAAGAGGTTATAAATAGTAATATCTATAACCTCTTTGGTTAGTATAAGTTTACAGAGGGTGCACGTTCATTTGAATGTATTTTGTGTTTAAATGAAGGTGCCATAAAGCGCCTAGAGCTGTATTGTGCTGAAGTGGGAGCCACAAAAATTCTGCATTATTATTAGTGATGATGATGGTGATGATGACTATAATAAAGATGATGATGATGATGATGATGATGATGATGATGATGATGATGATGATGATGAAAAGTCTTTGTTTGATTGCCGTGAAAGCAACAGCATGGACGTTTCAACATTGACCGATTTGTGTCTTTCTGTATACATGTATATAGAGGGCGGATCTTGCTTCACTTCTTTAATTCATCACTTCACTACAACATAAAGTAACAGGAGTTACAGAAGCAAAATTAAAGGAAGACAGTTTCCAACTGAGTGTCTGTGGTAGCGTATACCACGAGCAGTCCTTGTAAATGAATGAGTATGTGTGTTTGTGAGAGCGCGCGTGTATGTTTGTGTTTGTGTGTGTGGGTGTGTGTGGGGTGGTGGTGGTGGTGGTGTGTGTGTGTGTGTGTGTG